CGTAGAAATGTCTAAAAAACTGTCATCTTTTCTGTTTACTCTGTACGAAGAAATGTCTAAAAAAACTGATATCTTTTCTGTTTACTCTGCACGAAGAAATGTCTAAAAAAACTGTCATCTTTTCTGTTTACTCTGCACAAAGAAATGTCTAAAAAACTGTATCTTTTCTGTTTACTCTGCACGAAGAAATGTCTAAAATATGTCAAACTATTGTAAATTTAAAGTAATAAATTTCACTGTCCTTCTGGCACCAAACTCCCCAGTGGCACGACGGTAAGTCTGCGAACAACGCTAGAAACCCGTGATGGCCACAACACATATAGCCTATTCTTTAGCTTTGCGCTTAACTACAAACCGATATCAAAACACAAAATAATTCAAAACGAAACTACAAGTGGTTTGAGAGAGTGCTTGTTAATTCTGGATTTTAAGCAAACAAATGTTTTAATTAATTAAACTACTACAGTTGAAAAGTTACTAAACAGAGAATTATCATTATTTTCTGTTGTCCACTTGAAACATTATACTACAAATAGAAATTAGATTTGTAATGTTATCTACTCTGACTTTTTCTTTGATTTTTCTCAACCAATGTATATATGTATGTGACAAAATAAAATAAATCAGATGCTTGGCTTTTAAAATCGTCCATTACAGCAATTTACTAAATTCAGTTGTAAGTAACTGGTATATCAAACTAGACAAGAAAAGGTGTTGTTTGTATAGTTATTCTAGTTATTTATCAGCAATTTTAGTTTTCTATAAAATCTTAATCTTTGCAGTTATTCACAGAAAACGTTAAGTAATTAAATCAGAAAAGATTAAATTTTTTTTTCTTACGTCAGCTTTTTTTCTTTTGTCTTTGTACTTCACATTTACCATAAAATGCCATGGCTTTGCTAGATGCTAGTCAACACCATCCACTACAACTCTTGGGCTATTCTTTTATCAAACGAGTAGTAGGATTGACCGTTATTATAACGCCACCCCACGTCTGAAAGGTCTAGCTTGTTCTGCGTGGGTTTCGATCCCGCGACCCGTAGATTACGAGACTGACTTGAGATTCCAGCGCCCTAACCAATATTTCTAATAAATTATTTGTATATTTTGGATATTCATGCAAAACTACAAAAAAAGCTATCAGTGCATAGCATCCTTGATGTTGAACTGATAGAATAGGGAAGGCAGCTATCCAACAGCACCCACCAACAACTCTTGGGCTACTCTTGTCAGAGAAGAGAGCTATCCAACAGCACCCACCAAACAACTCTTGGGCTACTCTTGTCAGGGAAGGCAGCTAGCCAAAAGCACCCATCAACAACTCTTGGACTACTCTTGTCATAGAAGGCAGCTATCCAACGGCACCCACCAACAACTCTTGGGCTACTCTTGTCTGACCAAATAGTGGGATTTGACCATCATTCTTATAATTCGTTCATGGCCCCAAAGCAATGAGCTCGTTTTTTTGGGCAACGGGACGCGAACAACGATTCTGGTATCCACAATCCGAATACGTTAACGACTAGGCCATGCCAAACCAGAGAACTTCGCAAATAGCTTGAACAAATATACCTACTGCTGATGTTACTAAATATG